GACAAAATGTAAAGAAACATTTAATAAATTTTAAAATTTCTTATGATAAATTGAATAATAATGTAATATATCATTCCTATCATTGTCATTATTACTTTAGCGTCAACGTAAACTTGAGCAACAAAAGTTATCAAAAGATTTTCAGAAAACACTGGCAGAGTTTCAAAAAGTACAAAGAGTTTCTGCAGAAAAACAACGTGAATATGTTGATAAGGCAAAGTCCCTTAATATTCGAAATGATGCTTAGTAAGTGTTTGTTATTATTAAATCTGCACAACCATAAAAATGAATTTCTAAAAATAAAATTTTTCTTAATATTATGTTATAATAATAGCGAAGAAGAAAAATCTGGTGCAGCTGAAGAGCAACCTTTGATAGATGATAGTCATCGAAGACTTCAACTACAAGTTTTAGATAATGAGATTGAATACAATGAATCTTTAATAGCAGAACGTGAAGGAGAAATCAGAGAGGTTGAACAAGGAATTAACGAATTAAATGAAATATTTAGAGATTTAGGGACTTTAGTAACAGAACAGCAGTCAATGCTGGGTAAATATTATTTATTTATTTAATCTGTAAAAATAATTGAGTTTTTTAAATAATAGCTTTAACAAAATATTTATTTCTTTAATTTAAAGACAATATTGAAAGTAACGTTACAAATATTGCTGTAAATGTTCGAAGTGCAGCTGATGAATTGAATCAAGCAGATAAATATCAGAGAAAAGCAAGAAATCGCAAATTTTGTCTTCTAATTGTTTGTGCGATTGTTGTAGCATTTGTGTTTTTTGCTTTGCTCCAATAATATATAAGAATTATTCAATTTTATTTTTTCTAATTTTAAATTAATCAATCAAATTTTTTTTCTCAAAAGTATTGCGCATGAGAACATTATAAATTTATTTATTATATTTTATTTTATTCACGTGTTTATTGTTTATTGCATTATTATATTTTTTTATATTATATTTTTATCTTTATATTCTATATGTATAGTGTATTATTATTTTATTAATAAGATAAAAACTAAGCATGTGATTTGCACAACAAAGATTTACACTGTCAAAAAAGTATACTTTTAATATTTGTTTTTATTTTGAAAATATCAAGAGTCATTGACCATATATACCAAGAACTCATGGTAAAAAATGCTCCCGTGAAAAACAAAAATGGTAATTGGTAAAAATGTTGCTGAGGCTATAAAGAATTTTCTTGGACATTATTCCAAAGTTCATGGATTATCAAGCTCAGCGAGGAATATAAATCAATTAACCTAATAACTTATATTCTTATCAGCAGAAATGAGCTATAAATTAGTTCACAGAGATTTTCCATTTGAAATGATGACATTTGTAAATTATGATATCAATTAACTCTTCAGATTCAAAACTTTGAGTCCAAGAACAGGTTTATGTGATATTTGCCATATTTGCCATATAAGGTTCACAATCAGAAGAAGATACAAAGAACATCTATCCAAAGCCAAGTTGAAAACCAAGTTGGCAAAGGCAAAGAAAATTGGTCAATCAGAGTTATTCATTGTAGTGTTAAAGCTATGATTTACAAAAAAAAACAAAATATTACAATTGAGTTTATAAAAGAGCAAAACAGAAGAGGAAAAATCAGATCCTGAAACTCAACCTTAAAGACTTGGAAGTACTCCAAAAATGAAGAGAATGACAATTAGCTGAGAAATTAGAACAATTAGAAACGGTTAAAAAATCAGGAAATAAATCAACAAGCCCAAGGAATTCAGCAACTAAAACAAGAATTTACATTTAACCAAAAAGTCTTTACCAGCATTACCAACAAATTACAAAAAACAATTCATCTAAAAAAGAAACAAGAGAAACTAATTGAAGTTAGACCCAAGGAATATAAACCATATTAATTCTTTCTTATCAAATCTATTTTATCTATACTGATAATTAACTTGAGCAATAAATTAGATTTTGTGTTAATGCATCAATTTTTTCCGGAGGAATGTCTGCCAGAATAACTGCAGAAACTTGATCAATGTTTATTTGTTTGTGTTCTGGAAGGAAGTTGAGAATGTTGCGAGAATTTGTTGTCATATTTTAAGAGAAATATGTCTGTCAATAGTTGATTTTCCAGTAAAATCAATAATATTTTCCTTCGACATAAAATTCAGGCAAGATTCATAATTCTATGACAAATCAGTAAAATTTCTTAATTTGGGATGGAAGATTACGTGTAACAAACTATATTTTTTTTTGAAAATATGAAAAACTCAACATGAAGATATTTTTGATTGTTTCGAAGACAGGGCGCTATATTCATGTATATTAGTTAATAAATTATGGTGTGATTAATATTGGTAAGTTATGGAGGGATCCATTTTCTTTGATTTAATACTATCAAAATATTAATTAATTGTCTATTATTAGTAGAACCAAAAACGTTCAAAGAGAAAGTCAGAATTTAAATTGTTAATAGATGAGCATAATAATAATAGCAGTAGCAATAAAAACAATTAAAAATTAAAGACAAATTTTTTAATTAAAGAATTGTTCAGTTTGATTATGAAATATTCAAAAATTCAAATACTTGATTTGGATTTTATTATTCTTCCTCTTTGTCAAATCTTCTTCATGGTCGATTTTCAAATATTAAGGAATTAAAATGTTCAAACAATAACCAATCAGAATTATATTGAAGGCATGAATAAATTCAACAAGTAAAACTATTCAAATATTAAACATTGAATATGATTCATTAACATATAGGATATTAAATACACTACCACTACCGCCACTACCACCATCACCACCATCACCATCATCACATCATCACCAATTTCTAATAATTTAGAAGCATTATTTTTAAAAGATGGTTATCAATTTAATAAGTTGTATAGTACATCAAATAGGATTATAATTAACAAATTGGGTTCAATAACTTTTCCAGTCTAAAGAAATTCATTTTTCTTACACACATAACTGTATTTCTGGTTTATCCTTTGCAACAGATGCAGTCAAACAATTATTGGGTTCAATTGAAGAAAACAGTAAAAATTGTCATAATTACAATAATAGCTTATAGTTTAGATAAACAATCCTAAAAATATTAGAGCAATGTGATAAATGGAAGGTTTCTCATGCTGGTGGTTTAAATTTTGATAAGGTTATCAAAGTTCTAGTTCCATCTCAAGCATCACAAAAAATCTAAAATTTGTTTAATTAATTTACTATTAGATTTTTTACAAGAGAATAATAAAAGTAGGAAAGGTTCTCTTCCTACTACTGTTGCTACTACTCCTTTTGTTTTAATATATTTTAAAGAATAAATGATCTGAATATTTTAATTTTTTTCCAAGTTAGCAATGTCTTGTATAAACATATATTTGATGGTTCTCATAATATGAAAACCTTTAAAGACTACAAATATTATCAACTTTTATATCGTGATTATCGACAAATTTTAATTTTGGAATTAAATTTAATAAAAGATTTTTATTTAGTGAAACAATTAAGAAAGGCCTCAATATCAATCCGCATTGGTCTAGTGGTTAGGATCTCCCGCTCTCACCGGGAAGGCTGGGGTTCAATTCCCCAATGCGGAATTTCTTTTAAGAAATTTATAAATAAAACGTGAATACTTTTTTTATTACAGTTTTTAGAATCTTTCATAAACTATTTTATCCAATGAACTAAAATATTATTATGATTACCATTAAACAGGTGGTTTATTTATTTGATGAATTATTTTTAATCCAAACAAAATTACATTTCAGCCTTTCTGTTTGATGAACTTATGTATGAACCAGTTCAATTCACAATCATTAAAGATTTTTGATTTGAACATACATATTTTTAAACAATGATTGCACATTAATAATTCTTAAAACCATTATATATATATATATATTTATTTATTTATTTATTTCTTGCTTCAAAAAAAAAAAAAAATCAATATCTGAAATATTAAAATTTAAAAACTTTTTTGAAAAAATTACTTGAAAAGTTAAGCTCAAAATGTCATCTTTAATTGAAAATTAATGTGGTGAGATCAATACGACTAGAATTCTTGGTGTTCATAAAATAACACAGTGTTTCATACTATTAGAAAATATTTATGGAAAAAAATCTTACGTAAAAACAAATGAATTGGCAAACAAAGAAAATCAAAGATGACACCAACAATTCTTGTTAAAAAGTAATGAACATTCAAAATGGGACACACTAGAAAATGACAGGATACGAGGTTCAGCCATTTATTATACCTGCCACCTGTCCTTTTTAGTGTTTACTCACTAAATTTATAAAGGAACAGACAGGCGAGTGGGACAGGTGATTTATAAAAAAAATAGGTGTGAATGGCAAGACGATAGGCATACAAGGTAGCCTGTTACATTATAGATTTAGCGCGCGAATATTGAAAAGGACAAGTGGCAGGCTGCCCTAGCACAGTCAAACCTTTTCAGAACGACTATAATTAAATTCTTGTCATAATGGATTTTTAAAATTTTCTTATGTGTCCCATTCATTCATCCGCTGCGACAAGGTTGACTGTAAATCCCTATTTAAAAGGACAATGAAAACAACAATAAATAATACAAATAAATAAAATAATTACTTGCCTATTTTATTTTAGAATATACGTGTAATTTTGGCAGTTCAAACAAAATTGAATTATTAGGTAATTGTGAAAAATGAGTTATTCCATTCTTACAAAAAAAACTTGAAATAAATCTTTATCGATTTAAAAAGGATTGAAGAATCAAATGAAATCCAACAACGTTTCTATGTATTATTTAATATACATATATCTATTATTTTACTATTTAAATAATTAATGATAAATATCGAAATATAAAATTTTGTGCTCGATTAATAATTATATTGATGGATAAAAGCCTGTTGAGACACATAGACTAGAGAATGAATTATTGATGAAATAATAAGATAAAATCAATTAGAAATTAATTCACTATCAGAATTTATCCAAGACATTCAAAGTAATTGTTCTAATCATTTATGTCTGAAGGTTGTAAACTAACTGATCCGGCAAAAGGATTCTAAAATTGAATCATTCATTAAGCATGAAATTAAAACAATATGAACAGTCATTGAAGCAGAGATTCAGACATGGATTTCTAATTATAATCAAATAAATGAAATGTTGCAATGGATTCAATCAGAAAATGCTTCACCAAGAGACAACAAGTTAAACGAAAAAGATGGGGTGTTGGATAAACTTAGACCGATGCCTTGATTTCTAAAAATAAAGATTCAAAAATCTGATCTTTGATTCTGTAAATGGGCAAGTTAATAATATGATTAATTAGAAACCATCTGAAATCGAGACTCTAGATATGAATGCATAAAAAAGAAAGAACGGGATCTTGTCGCAGAGGAAACCTTTGCTTTTGTAGATTAACATTAGAGAAAATGATGAAACGATAAAGCAGAAACTTACCAGCCGGCCTAAATGATTTGATTAGCTTAGCTGGACTAAAACAAACAAGAAATTAATTCAATATTGTGGAAGAAATTTATGCTACGTCCCAAAATAATGAAATAAAAAAATAAATTAATATATAAATTTATATGAATATAAAAAAAACTAATTATTCAAAAAGTTTTTTTTTCAAAAGTAGATAATACTCTTAATTTATATTGAAAAAAATTTCGTTTGTCTTCTTGTGGATTAACAGTATTTGTTTGTTTGTCAATTGTGTAAAAACGTGTCATTTTTTGGCGCAGCAATTTAACCATGGCTGACAACGACTTCGTTACTGGTGTTACTTGTCTATAGGTGAACTTATTATATATAAGGTAGCAAGACAAGAAATCAAATAATTTTTGCACCTGTTACTATCATGTGTTATCAGCAATATTTTTAAATAAAATGCCTCCAAAAAGTAAAGTATGAATTTTGCTTATATGCTCACAATAATATGTCAATTGGATCGAACAAAAAATATGAGGTTAGGATACAGCGCTGATGCCGAATGACTCCAATCAGTGCCACACATACAATTCAGCAATTCCAAATTATTGTTAAATTATACTTGTAACCAGGTCAAATTCAGAACATACCATCATCATCCCTACCTATAATATAATTTCTAAAAATGATGATCATTTGGGGCATACTGTAACAAAACCAAACAAGGTGAACCTTATGCCACAAAGAAATTTCAGGGATCAATATCACATCCAAACAATACTTAATGTGATTTCGGAACTCATCCATAAAATTATTTGAATGCGCAAATTTTTCAGTGAAAGCCTTTTTAGCTGCTGTGACATCAAAGTCCTCTGCCTTCCGTTTTTGACCCCATATTAGGCTACCAATATAATGTGTGTTTGTGATGACACTAGTAGTTTTGTAATGTCTTTTATTTTTTTTCGTCATTTCTTGTTTCTCATTTCAATATCCACCGTATAAGATAATTGATGCAATTAAGCAAAGCATCAAATTGTTTCTTCGTTAGGTTATTTATTACCTAGTGTCTTTTCTTTTGCATACATACGTTTATCAGTATCTTTTAACTTTCTCTTAATCTATGTCCTGTTTTCTTGTAAATAAAATTTTTCCTTTTCTAAAAGGCACAAGATGCATTTTGTAGTGGCCCCAAAGGAAATTATCACCACCATCAAGTTTTCCTTCTTTTCAAATTCTCTTTTCAGTCTTTCGGTCTTCAATAGCTTTCGAAGATAGCTGGATTCTCCCTGTTTTCCCTAATTGATTCATATCGAATTACTGGTTGAGACGTTGCAAACATTCATCTCAATAATAGACACTTTTCAACTTGATGCCTTTTCTTTTAACTTCCTCTTTGATAAAACAACGGAGACAACCGAGTTGTTATTTCTTTTTTTGTTATTTGTATTTTTATAAATAAATTGCGTCGCTCAAGGATACCAAGATCATCCAGAAAAGAACATTTTAAGAAACAAATTTTGAAAAAATTCCTTATATACAATTGCAAGTCGTAAAGTTCTTTAAAAAATATTTCTGTAAAGTAAAATGAATAATATTAAATCTGAAATATTGAGCTTAAGTTCCAGATTTAATAAATAGAATTATCCTTTTGTGATACTTGATTCAGCAGGTCTTAATATAACAGATATTAGTGAATTAGGCAATTTGTGCACTTTCACATAAAAAATATTAATCAATCACGAAATTAAGAGATGTTACCATTATATAATATCTTCCTATCTATAATGGACAAACACCTTGTCATAACAAATTTCACTTTTATTATTATCAATTTCTCTCTATTACTATAGTGGACAAGTACACAACTGTATTTTTTTATATCGAAAAAATAATTAATTATTTCAATATATTCTAGCAAAATGTGGTTAGTATTAAAGGACAAAATAAATTATTTTTTTTGAGTAACGGTCCCTGCAAATTATATCATACATATGTTTTAAAGTTTCCAGTCTTGTATCTCATTGTTGTGCTAAGCAAACATGGTCCGATTTTCTCATTAGTTGTAATCCTTATTTGTATATCATTCATTATGCAAAAAACCTAATTTGAACCTAGCCAATCAAATATGAGGGTGTTTTAATTGGCCAATTTCATTTCATGTACGTGAATCGGATTCGCATTATCTCAAACAAAATATTTTATTACTTTTATTACTTTTTTATAAAAATATCATTTTCATCAAAGTTCCTTTAGAATTTAATGCCTAAAACGTATTTTAAAACCAGTTTAACTCTAGCAGCATAGTGGAAATTTGATTTCGTTGGCTAAAATTTGAGATGATCACCATCCAAATTATCACAAATTTCACTGTGTATAATTTTGAACAAACCATTGTGAGTAGAACATAACTACCATAGATAATTAACACAACTTACATTATAATTTAAATTAATTAGGACGAGAATATTAACATTTATTTAGTTGTTGCACAGTAGTCTTGATATTTATCTAAAATATTATCTACTCTGTCCTCACCATCAAATCATTTTACTATTCATTTCTAGTAGGATTGTTATGTTGATTGACTTTCTAATTAATATTATATAATTAAGTCTTTTTTAAAAGTATATATAAATGAATAAAACTCTCTTTACCTGTATATAATATTTCTTAACCATTCATCATCTATTATTATTGTAATAAAAAAAGAGTTGACGAGAATATTCAATCATTCTTTACAGTAATCTTTGGGACAAAAGAAACAATTCTGACCTGTATATATCACTAAAGCTTGAAATGTGACTCCTCCTATATAACCATCTGAAAACGACTTGTATTTTTACCCATATACTGAGAAGATAGAAGAAAGCGAAATATATATATATTATATTAATATATATGTATCTAATTGAAATCGTACTACATTCGCCAATTAATTTTCCAGGTGTCATTTACTAAAATGCTCACGACTAAATAAATTTAGTGAAGGCTGGTTCTTTATTTTGATGATGATATCTTTACTACTAAACATATTTGTAAGGAAGTTAGAAGCAAAATAAAAAAAGTTTAGCTACTAAATAATCCAAAATATATATATTTTTTTAATACTTATAAAATTAATTATTGTTGACAGCATTTACAAATTGGTAGTTGATTGTAATACAACGGTTCATAGTTTTACAAACATTAAAGCAAGGAGATGGTTTTTTTAATTTAAATTTTAATACAAGTGTAATAATCAAATAGAAAAAATGTAAATACTTTTACCCCTTTTTGAAAAAATTTAAATAAAAAAAATTTAGAATTCTACTTCTCTCTCCTCTCCTCCTCTCCTCTCACTCATTCTAACAAATGAAATTTTGTTTTTTTTTACTTAGAATTTGAAAAATAATGAAATATTCACCGATAATATTTAACTGAATAAAATGAAAATATTTATTATTTTATTTTAAATTTAAAGAATTAAATTTTTTTTTTAATAAATTATTTATTTAACAATAAAACTAATTAACGAGTAATAAAGAAAATAAAAAATGGCAAGAAGACAACCTACAAAACCTGTAAATGATTTGATAAAATTTTGGTCTGAACAAGAGGAAAAAAAAAAAGAACAATCAATAACATCACCGATAGCAAGATCTCCTACACATAGTAAAACTTTATCTCCAAATGCATCTACTCCTCCTTCTCCTAGATCAGATTATTTCTCTCAGCAGCAACAAAACCTACATCAATTAAACACCAAGTTATCACCTACAACTTCTCCTCGTTTATCACCTACAAAAGTAACTTTCCAAAAAATATTATCTGAAAATCTTTTATCAAGAATATCTAATGACTCTAGAGTTAACGACAGCAATGATAATGATGGACAAACAAATAACAATCAAAGCAACAATATTGCCGATGATGATGATAATAATAATAATAATAATAATAACTTTTTTACTGATGAACCCGAATCTTTACTTTGTAATAATGACAAAAGTTTCTCAACTATAGATAATAAAAACTCGCATTTCAACAAAGATAACAAAGATGATCTGGATAATATCAAATCATCATCAGAAAATCCTCTTTCTATAGTTCCACTTAAATCTATACCACCCGTACCGCCAAAAGGTTCTTACGGCTTGAGCACACTTGAACAAAATCAGGCTTTACCTTTATCTCCAACTAAAAAGGTTTCAAATTTAGTATCTCGTTTTGAAAAGGTTACTCCTCCTCCTACATCTCCAACAGCATTATCACCAACAAAAAGAAATTTCACGACTCCTGAACCAATATCATCTCCTACTAGGTTGGTTTATGCTGATTCAATAGATACAAAACCAGCATCACCATCATCCCCTTCTTACTCTGCAACACATCGATCATCTACAAATTCCATCATTTCTCCACCTAAACAAATAAAAATTACAAAAACCACCACCACCACCACTTCAATAGAAAATCAGCAACAGCAAAAAAGTAGGCCATCAACATCACCACTTTCATCATCTTTTGAATTTAATTTGCCAGAGTCCATATTTACTTCAATATCATCAATTCCAACTGAATCCAAAACTGTTTTAAAATTAAATGGTGATAATAGCAACAATAACAAGAACAATAATGATGGTTTACCAATATCAATTAAATCAAAAGATTTGCAAAATCCTAAATATAAAAGTTTACCTCCATTAGGAAAGGCCTCTTCAACATCTGCAACTAACGACCCATCATTGTCATCATCAAATTTTGATGATGTTTTCAATGAAATCACGCCATTTTCTTCGGTTTTACAACCGCTTTCGGATCCAAGATCAAACAACAATCTTAATAATAATAATAATAATAATAATAATAAAAACAATAATGATAAAAACAAAACCAAAAATAGCAGAGAATTTTTTACTTCAAAACGAAATAGTTTTGCTGAAAAGATGAAAAAACGTACTTCAATAATACGTAAAAATATCCCAGAAAATATTTTTATCAATAAAGATTTGTCATCAATCACAGAGTCCGGTTCAACAAATTTACCAGAACATAAACCTATTTCACCATTAAAGATAGATATTTATAAAAATAATAAATTATCGGCTCCGTCAACAAATAATGAAACCAATAACGATTTTCTCAATGCTCCACATCCACATCCACCTCCGCCTCCACCTCCAGTTGTATCATCATCATCATCGTCGTCATCATCATCATCATCACCACCATCTCGTAAAATACCTCCAACATCACGGAATAACATCAGACCACTACCATACCAAAGCTCATTTTTGTTGCCAACTGTAAATATTTTCGGCAATGAAAGAGATTCTTGGGGCATTTTTAGTGAAGTTTCTTCAAAATATCCGATGCACTCTGATCAAGACTTGAAAACATCCGATTCAAATCACAAAAATCAACAACATGATAACCCTGATCCATATAAGAGTCATTCCCAAGAAAGTAACAATCCCTTTTTGGATATGACAAACAATGAAAATCCTGATATCTATAAAGTTGTAGTAGGTCCAAAACCAACTAATAAAAGACATTCTATACCTACAACACAAGACACAAATGCTTTTATAATGGAGATGCAGGAAACCAATATGGCCAAATCTGCTTCTGTGCAAAATGATGATAGAACAGCAAAGAATGGCACTTTTGTCAAACATATAAGTGGTACGATCGAATTAATGCAAAATCTTAGTAGATTTTTAAAATCTGACAAAGATGAAAAGACTGACGAAGTTACTAGATCTACATTACCAACTTCACAATTACCATCATCTAAACCACCCAAACCACCACCCAAACCATACAAAAAGGATGATGATATTGCTTTAACAATCGCTGTACGAAAATCTGGATCATTTCAGACAATCAATTCATCTTCTGGTATTAGATCTGTAAAGCGTAATACTCTTAAACCAGTCAAAATTCCAAAGTATCCATATGGCACTAGAATACCCGAAAGAAATACTCTTTCACCTGCAAATTCACTTAAAAAGAAACAGGCAAAAGATAAATCTTTCTTAAAATATCAAAATCATAATTTACCAGAATACGCTACCAATAAATCAAAAATGTCTGTTCTTGTTCCTCATAATCTATCTTCAACTGAGTACGGGAAAATCAATAAATCATTGCCAGACCTTACCGTTAAACATCGTCATGATAAGTTCAATAAAGTTTTTCGTAAAAATAACATGACTGTACCAGATTTAACACGCCTCGATACTTTTTCAAACGATGAAAAGAAACCAGATTTTACTATGGCAATAATGACAGATGCTGTGTTAGATCCTGCAAAGATCACAAAATTTAGTATAAATCCTTTTGATGAATCAGAGTCGAATCAACTATTTAAACCTGGTGCTCCGTGGATTCATTTGCCTCATCTCAACGAATTCATAAAGTCATTACCAGTAACTAAATTTTCATCTCCAAAAGATTTAATGACAACTGAAGAATATGAGAAATTTATTGAGAAAGTTAAAAAAGGAAAGAAAGTTGATAACTCCATTTTTCCCCCAATGAATCAAATTCCAGAAAATGTTACCCTAGATGATCTCAAAAACAATGCCAAAAAATCGAATAGATTTATTAATCAGGGCCTGCAAAACGATATTATAAGTAATGCTATTGATGGCATTCTCACCATTGAAGGATTCTCACTCGGATCAAATATTATGAGATTTGAAATTGTAAGAGATTTCATACAATTTTTGGCATTGGCTTTATCATTTACAAATTCTGGAGTTTTGAGTGGCTGGTTACGTGTAATTTTGAGCATTATACCTAATTTGTTTGGCTTGAATTTATCTTTCGTGTTTGGTTACGGTTATGCTTTCTTTTTAGTATTTTGTGTTCTTACTTTTATGGGTTTGTATTGGTTCAAGCTAATGACAAAATATGATCCAAATGCTGATGTTGAGGTAAACTTTAATTGACACAAACGCACATATATATTTAATATTAGAATCGTTAAAAAATACTTATACAAATTCATATTTTATTTAGGGTCTGGAATCAAGTCCTTGGAATCTTAGACCAGAATCTAAAAAACGTCATAATATCGCAATGATATTTCTTCTTACAACATTGTACTTGCCTGTTTCTAAATTGTCTATTGATGCATTAGTCTGGGCCGATACATTCTGGGTTATTCCAAATCCATATTTAAATTCAGATGATCCGGTTTTTGAAGACGTAGTGGGTAATGGTGATTCACTTCGTGATTTAAAAGATTTCTGTTATGTTACTAGCATGAATAAAAAAGATTTGAATTTTTCACCAGTTATAATTGGTATCGCACTGGTAACCATTAGTTTTATGACATTTTGGTTCCCCGTTGCGCTCAAACGACTGGTTGATAAGAATGTTCCAAAAGTTGATGCATACACTGAAACGGGAGAAACAAGGAAAAACAAAGATGAAGAATTTATAAAATTAATGGATAAAGATACATGTCCTTACAATTTTATATATAATGGATATAGTGAAAGATGGACAAGTTATAAATCATTTATTATGGCAAACAAATTTTTTAGTTTATTTTTAATATCTGTAATCTCCAAAGATAATTGTCTTTTCCGAACTGTTGCGAGAACGAATATAGAGACTATAAGACAAAGCTTGCAAATAGTATTGATGGTTCTCTTGCTTTTGGTCCACTGGAAAAGCGAGCCTTTTATTTACCGTTCACAAAACACGGGTGAATATTGGTCAAGGCTTAGTTATGTGATTACAACAGTCTTGGGATTATTTAATATCCTACATATTGGATATTTAACAACAAATTATATTATAATTTTAGTTATTGATTGTATAGTAACTTTAATAGTTGTTTGGTATGTTGTTAAGCAAACAAACAGATTCCAAAATTTCATGAAAATTATGAAAAAGCAATTAGATTTTTCTTTGAACATTTACAGTCCAAAATTAGATTTCTCAAAACACATCAAAAGAAGAATATGGCAAGAGACATGGACAACTTTACTTTTAACAGATGAACAATTTAAAATGCCCGAGGGAAAACCTGTTGGATTTTCTGAAAGTCCATATAGACCACCTTATTTATTAAATTTTGGTGGTACTGTTGGAGAAAGACATGCGGAAAATTTGAAAATCATTAGACAAATTGGTATGAAAAAATACGTTGAATCAATGGCACCATTGCCAGCATCATTAATAACGATGAGATCAAAAATTTTTAATCGTTTCGTTGGACCTGATATGTATTATTCACCAGAATACATGACAACCAAAAACAAAACATGCTTTGGTAAGGCTTACGTAGTACCTTTTCCATTTTCAGTAGTTATGGTTTATGATGAAGATGAGAATGTCGTTGTGTTGACACAAGAATGGGAAATTAAAAGATTTATGCAACAAAATGAAAGTAAAGAAATTCAAAGACGTCGTTTAATTAGACAAAAAATTAGAGCTTTGGAGGGTAAATTGATTATTGGACCATGCCGTGATAAGTCTGATGTTTTTTCGCACGGTTCTGTTAAAAATATTCAAGATATGGTAAATTATATTTTACATACTATATAAATATCAATTTAATTTTGTTTATTAATCATTAATTATTTCTCTTTAAAAAAAACAAAATTTATTTGATTTAGGATTTCTTTGGATTGCCAGATGTTCATTATCATCGTGGTTTGTTATCTATTCAAAGAAATCAAAGAACTAAATGGCAGGATCATAATATGAACCCTGGATTCATTGTTACCATTACTTATGCGAGTTCTAATAGATGGGATGCTGATGATGTGGTAAAACAACCTATAAAGGAACGTATTGTTGGGCATGATGTTATAGGAATTACTGATGATTTCCAGATGACACCTCAATTAGAAAAACTTTTTAATGATAATGAAGATATTCTTGAAACTAATTTAGTTAGTGTTCAAAGTGTTATGAAGAAATATCGAAAGTTTTATCATGATGAGGCGAAATGGAAAGAAGATACACTTAGCTACGGATTTTTTGTCAACGTTTATGATAATCCTTCGATACCACTAGAAGCATTACCGGTATTGTTGGTATCAACCGAGAACAATCACCTCGTACAATCTATTCCTGAAAGTGACTACCCAAGTTTAGTTTATTTGTATGAACGTATGAGAATCGTTAATTTATCAAGAGTTCATCAATGGTGGTACTTGTTTTGGGAAGACTTGTGGAGAAAAAATAATAAAGAGATACCACATTTATCTAAAAATCCACGGGATTTTTCACCTGCATATAGTGTTAGTATATGTTACAAGCCAATGACAAGATTAGAGCTGGAAGAATTTTTGGAAAAAAGAGGGTGTTGGCAAAATGGTGGCAAAAAAGGATTTTTGCATTCTGGTGTTTTAAATAGGATATATTTGTATTTAAACAATGTTGTATTTCACGGAAAGTCTAAAAAAGGTGGCGAGCCTAAAAAATGGAGTATAATGAAAGGGGATACAATTGATGATAATGATAGTGATTATCATTTATTACATAATAGAGCTAATAAAAAATCAATGAGAGAAAGAATATTAATAATGAAAGATGTAATGTTGAGAAGAAAAGATAATTTTCCAAAGACAAGACCTTTCTTTGTACTACATGAAGAAGAATCTCAGAGTGATAGTGATGGTGTTAACTCTGGAAGTGATGAAGAAACATGGTGGTAACTTATTTACGCACACACACACACATACATATATATAGATAAATTTAAATTTTGATAATTTATTTTATCTTAATTTAGTTTTGTATATGACCTATTAAAGACTTTATTTAATTTAATTAACTTATTTTTTAATTTATAATTTTGTAATTTATAATATTTATAGACTTATCATTATTGTTCTATTTTTATCTTCAATAGATTTCATATATTTTTAATTATATAATTTTAAAATCAGTAATTGATTGTAAATTTTATTTGATCAATAATGATTATTTATTAAAACAGCATTTAATGACTTAATAATGAATACATGTGTGTGTATATTATAAAAATTTAACAATTTATGAATGAAATGTTTTTATTCTAATGCATTTTTATAAAAAATTAATGTTGATGTTAAAAAAAAAGGATACGACTATTCTAATAACAACATTCATACAGGTAAAGCCAATATTAATTTTGGCCTCAAAGGCGGGCGTCTCATCCAATATACAAGTTTGATAGGCCAGCTTATTATATAAGATAGTATTACAAATTTTGATGACTTTTGTTGAATTAAATCGTTTTCTTCATTTGATTCACATTTATTTAAAAATTACTTTCTAATAAAATCCCAACTCCATATAATACGTGTTGAAAGATTAAAATAAATGCATTCGCGAAAATACTCCAGAACCAACAAATCCACCAGAAAATAATGTCAACCAATAATTCAATGTTTTAAGTGTCTCTTCTGTTGCTACTATTGCTACGTACAGCTGCAATAAACGCTTATCAATTCTCATTATAGAGATATAAACAATTCGACCAATTAACAAAGTTCCAGCATAATTTGTTGCAACTCCAATGAACAAAAGTTATGGAAAATATGAAACTTGATCATCATTATAAGTAAAAAAATATCTAAACGTCTATTTTACTGTGATATCATCAGAAGCATTGAAATAACTTGTTATATTAACTGATATTATTATTGCTATTATTATTATTACTATTATTTATTATTGTTGTTATAACAATTACTATTTAATGGTTTATTCATTTTTTTGTTATGAATTTGAATATTTGAATACATTGAAAGTTATTCGAATAAACAAATAAGACAAACGAATAATAATTTGAATTAAGATTTGAGTATCGTGAATAATTCAAATAAGGATTTGTACAATTGCTTTTATCCTGCTACAACAGTACAAAGCAAATGTATTTTTTTTTTGTCATTCCAAGTAATGCAGATGAACCCATCTCAACTAAGTATCTATGCCACTAAATTCTGCACTAAATTCCAGACATAAAAATGAATGTTAAATTTTTTCTAGCTGGCTTAGCTGGCTCATATCACTAGGCAAGGAAGGGTTAAATTGTAATTGATATAGAAAGTTTTCCATTTCAAGTAAATTTTCTAAAGACCCTGCTTGCTTATTACTAATACTAAATTATTGACAAAAATTTATTGTTATTGTTTTTTCGCAATTACTTCAAATAGTGTTTTATCTTGAAAATAATAATATTATATTAGGTTCAGTTCAGACATGTTTATTAAAAATCTATATTAATATGATTTTCTTACTTCTTTAATATATTTTCAATGGTTACATATGAAGTTAGATGTCTTATATGATGAAGCTTTTAATTTTTTGACATGTTATATGCTAAATTGGTAGGAAAATGTTGCATGTTTAAAAAAAGGGTCAATATAAATCAAACGCGACCGGGGGGTCCTGTATAAGTAGAGATTAACAAGTAAACCTTATTACACTAAATCAGGAAGATCCAAATCCTCCCTATAGCTAATTGTGGCTTCATAGAAAG